CTTTCAGACGGGTCATCTAAGATGTTTTGCATAAAAACACTCTTTGGTCTGGCTTGGTGATATACTCCTGTAATCCTAGCACACTGGGAGGCTGAGGCAGGAGGATCACAAATTCAAGCCCAGCCTGTGAAACTTGGTGATTTAACAAGACTTTGTCTCAAAATTAAAAAAATTTTTAAGGGGGGTGCTGGGGAACGTAGCTCAGCTTGAAGGCCCTGGGTTCAATCCCCATTATTGCAAACAAAAAAATCTTTGAACTTCTTGAATATGTTTCCTCATCCTAAGGTCAAGTTGCTGCCTTTTACTTTAGCTTGATTTATGGACTTGCAGTATCTTTAAGGGGTTGGGGTGTCACAGGCCTGAAAGAAAAAAACAATCAAGCCTAAGGAGCAAAGATGTGGAGTACAGATATGAACAACCTTGGGTAATTTAGACTATGCCTTAGGTTGATAATCTTTGTTTACTTTCTACCTAACTTTATTTCTTCTATGTCACAGGGACCAAGAACCCTCAAGCCATCCCCATCCTTTAGAAATGTGCCGGATCGGGTTCCCATTGTGTGCACATGACTAGTTGTCATCTGAGCCTGCAAGAGCCAAAGGTGTCTTGAAGCTTATGATTCTTTTTTTTTTTTTTCCCTGTACTGGGAATCAAACTCAGGACCCTTGAGCTTGCCAGGCAGGCGCAGTGCCACTGAGCTACATCCCCGGCCCACTTATGATTCTTTATAGTCATAATCTTTTGTGTCTCCATGACTTTTCTCATCTACATTTTCGCATAAATTTTTCTTTGATTCTTTGCACTCACCATTACCTTGCAGTTGAGGTAACTGGGGCTCAGAGAAGCTTGGTAAGCCTGCCTAGAGTCACAAAACTGTGAACAGACAGAACTGAAACTGGAGTGCAAATGAAGCTGGAGAATTTTAAAAGCCTGGAGGAGCAGGGGTGGGGAGAGGCACAGGCAATAGGAGGTGCCACTGGCCTATTTTTGCCAGGGGGTTACCACTTAAGCAAATCTACTCTACGTGGAAAGAACCTCGACTAACTTCCCCAGAGCTTCTCCCAGCCACTTCATTGCTGCGGCAACTCAAGCTATACATTCTGTAAGAATTCCAAGGCTTAAAAAAAAAAAAAAAAAAAGAATTCCAAGGCTTATTTTTACTTGCTTTTTTTATTCACTAATTTGTTTGTTTGTACAATGGCCACCTTGGAGATGCTGTGCTATAAAGGATTTTAAAGAAGGTACACCCAGTATGTTTTATATTTGAGTTGCTTATGAATAGTGTGTTTGTAAATTGAGAACTGTCTATATTGTATGTGTGATGTCATTAAATATATATTTGGTCTGTCCAAAACTATCTGGCATTTGTCCCTTACCAACATTACTGAGTATTTTAGTTTCTCAATCATGCAAGTTTAAAAAACACAGCCAAACCTAATGAATGTCAAACTTGTGCAGTGACTCAAGTTGATCGCAGCAGTTTTAAACAGAAAAAAGATTAAAATTCACAAAGGACCAATGGGGTGAATACTCACTTTAAAAGAATACAAAGAGAAATCTTTTTGAACCATTGGTTTTCCTGAATATGTTAAATGTGCATTAAATTAAAAACCACTGTTAAGGAAGAAAATTTTATCCTATGTGAAATAACAAACATCTGAAATATGAATATGTTCTTAAAGCTTTTACTGCTATGTAATCCGAAATACTTTTTAGTAATAGTGACATACTTAAGTTAATAAAACTATACTCTTAACTGGGTGTGGTGACACATATGTAATCCTGGCCACTTCACAGGCTAAAGCAGAAGGATCTCAAGTTCAAGGCCAGCCTGGACAACTAGTGAGACTCTGTCTCAGAATTTTTTAAAAAATTAAAAAATGGGCTAGAGATGTTGCTTAGTGGTAGAATGCCCTTGGGTTCCATACCCAGTACCACACACACCCACACACACCCACACACCCACACCCACACCCACACACACACACACACACGCACACACACGCACACACAACTGTACTCTTTATTTTTTAGTAATTTACCAGGTCTGTCCAACAAAACTTTCTGCAATACTGGAGAACATCAGTATCAGTAGCCATTAGTCACCATTAGTCACTCTTAAAATATAGCTAATGCTAATAAATAACTTCATTTTAAATTTCTTTTGTTTTAATTCACTTATAGACAAGCATAGCTGTCAGATATGTATTGGACAGAGCAATTATAAATTCTCCTTTGTATTTAAAAAAGATTCCTATGATTCCGTCATTCCAAAGACCCTTATTTGGTGGATGTAAGAGCGGAGCCTATAGTCCCAGCACTCTGTGAGGTTGAGGAAGGAGGATCTCCCAAGTTTGAGCACAAACTGGGAAACTAGGCAATTTGGCAAAGCCTGACAACATTTTTTTTAAAAATCAATTTTTTAAAGGCTTTGGATGTAGCTCAGTGCAAAAGCCTTTAGTTCATTCACCAGTACTGAAGTCTGGGGGAGTATAAATTAAAACCCCTAACAAGGCCGGGGATTTAGCTCAGTGGTGCCACCGCCTGCCTCATAAGCACAAGGTCCTGAGTTCGAGCCCCGGTACCAAAACAAACCCTACTGGTAAGGCCAGAATTAAGGCTATAGCTAAACCTCTGACCATGAATTGGGTGTTGAAATAAAGTTAGCTAACTGGACATAAAATTTTTCAGAGGTTATTTCTGTTAATAAACATCAAAAACTATCATGTGCAATGTATGAGACAGTGGGATATACACAGACTCAAGTAAATACACGTCACTAGCCTCAAGCAGTTCGTACCTAGGGTTAAGGAATGACGGCTGCACGCAGGGATGGAATACTGGGAAATGTGAGAAAGGACAAGAGTTAGGATGGGACGATTGTTGCCTAGCAGACCAAGACGGGACAGGGACTATGTTCATGAAGGCATTCGTTTCAGGGTTTCTGTTAAACGCTAGTTCAGTATATCCTAACAAGACAAGGCTGAGCAACTCCGTAAATTCAGCCTTTTAACAAGCACTCTGTTAACAACTCTCATCACTGACTAGGGCTATCTAGCACATGCCATTGCGCTGAGCTCCAGGGATACACTGTGGGACGGGAAGACTGTCCTTCAGGGACCTTACTGTTCTGGGAAGCGCCACCCGGCAACGAGAAGAGCAAGCAGCCACCTTGGGATAGATGCTGGGCGCCAGCTCACAGAAGGGGCTTCTAACCCAGGCAGGGGCAGAGAGGAAGGTTCTACAAACAAGACCCAAAAAACCACTATTGTCTTCCTACTAAATCTATCCAATTTTGTCTTATGGAAATTTCCTTTTTGGCATTATGCCATTGACCTTTTCAAGGTTTATTAACTTCTTGAGTACAAATCAGCATGTAGTTCTTATCGAACACTGTCGATCAAAGCACCTAATCGTCATTTTTCTGGAGCGTTCAGCATGTGTTAGGGGCTGAAGCTATATGAAGAGCAAAACTCCTGAGAAAAAGCGTTCCTAGGTCAAATATTTCAGTAATCTTCCATTTAAGAAAAGTGTAAAAATGTATGACTCCTTCATAAGAGTTCCTTTTTAAATTGTGTGGTTTCCTATCTAAATTTAAACATCTCTCCAAAATAAACTTCAGGAAGACTAGAGTAAAAAAAAAAAAAACTCACTAAAATGGGAGTAACTTTACTATTTCAATACAATTAAAGTCATTAATAGGAAATTTCTGTAACATAGTGGCCTTAGTGGAGGATTTATCTGACAGTCTAGGTTCAAAGTCCAGGCTGAATGGCCTTGGGCAAGTTATCTAACTTCTCCAAGCCTCCACTTCCTCTTTTGTAAAAGGGAAATACCAGGATATGAATAGCCTCAGGCTCACAGAATGGTTGGCTTAATGATGCACATGTTTATAAGGAATTAAAAAGTGTACCTGGGTAAATCTGTAGCTATTCTTATTAATTACACTAGTTCTAAACTATAAGAAAACAATACGGTTCTGGAGACGTTAAATGTGAAAAACTGGGGGGACCCAGTAGGTCCAGCAGCTTCCTCCACCGAGTCTGTGGGGGAGAGGGGGATATGACCAGGGCAGGATGTGAGGAAACCGAAGAGCAAAACCACAACACCGGAGACAGTTGGTAAACAAAGCTCTAACTCATAACTCAGGCTCCTACGTTTTGCTTTGAATTTGCTTCCAAGACCGATGGAATGACTTAAAAGGAAAAAGGTCACAATTACTAGAAAGAACCTAAAAGGACAGGCGACGATGCAGTACAAGGCCAGAGGTACGGACACGGTATCTGTGTAACGTCTCCTCCACAGGGCGGTAAGATAAAGAGGAAATCTGTGGGGTGCCGATTCCCAAGTCTTCACTCGGGACCACCTGGAGCCTGTTGCTGGCCAAATCCCACGTTTACCGAAGCCCCAGGGATGTCCTCGTCGGCCTGGGGGGTTCAGCCTGACAACCTGGCTGCCCCGGGGACGTTCCGGGCACAGTGGAGGGGCCGAGGCTGCACGTCCTCGTCCCGCCCCACGGCGAGCCACGTCCACTGGCGCGGGCAGCGGCCAGCAGGGCGCGATCGCTTCCCGGGCCGCGTCTCCCGAAGGTTCCCGGTCGGCCCCAAGGGCTCTCTGGGTTTCCCGCGTCGCGTGGTGCCCCGCCCTCGAGTCCCCACCGCGTTCTCCTTTCTGCCCCGCCCCAGCGTCCGCGCGGGCTCAGGGCAGCGCCCGGCGAGTCACCGTCACGTGGCGCGCGGGGCGGGCTAAACCTCGGCCGCCCTGGCGCTCCGATCCCTAGTGGAAAATTTCCGGAGCCCTACTGGGGCTGCGCGCGGGAGGCCCCGCCCGCCACAGGCCCCGCCCGCCGCCCGCCCGCTCCCCCTTCCGGCTGCCAGCTCCTGCTAAGGGGCCTCGCTCCCTCGGGAGCTGCTCGCGCCCCCCTGCTGCAACCCCGGCCCGGCGCCGCCCGCGCCCCGCACTTCCTTCGCGACCCCCGAGCCGGTGGCCTTGCCCCCCACCTCGTGTGTGGCCGCCTAGCATCCTGAGAGGCCGGCACCGGCGTCCTGGCGCCTCCGCTTTCACCTCTGGGGCGCCGCGGCCGCCTCCGAACCGCATTGCGCGGATCCTCATACCTCCAGGGTGGGGTGTAGGACAAAGGGACCGGACGGCTCGGATGGGCGCCTTGTCTGCGTCGTCGCACTAGGAGCACGTCCAAGCCACCCCCCCGCCCAACCGGGAAAATGAGCTGTTTTCCCAATCGCGAAACATTCCCCCACTCCGCTTTCCCAACCACCAACAAAATTTATCCCTGAGAGCGATTTTGAGGAGTGTCTTGACCTCATCCATCGAAGGATGACAGTGGCTACACAATGACATTGTTTTACTCAAAAGATGTGTTATCCGCGTGTTTCACCGCAGGAAAACAAACAGCTACTGGCTTGAGAGTTGTCGAGTGGGTGTTGTTGACCGAAGGGGACTGAGGCGTAGCATTGGCCCTAGGTGTCCCAAATGAGATTATTTGAAACCAGAAGCAGATGTCTTCATCAAACACGAAGTGCTAAAGATTTCAGCAAAAACAGACGGAGTTTTCCTTGGGTAAAGATCTCAGAAACAAGCCCATCTTTCCAAGAACCGGAATTGCAAGTATGTTAATTTTAATAAGTCCTTATTTCAGTATCTTAGCCCCGGGCAAGAAGAGATCCGGAAATCGAGTGAAGGCCAGGAATGTAGGTCCATTGTGGCCTTAAGAGTGTTTGGGTAGACTTTATGGATTCGGTCAACGACATTTGTCTTTGGGCAGGAAGACAGAGATAAAAGTTGTAAAAATATAGATAGATAGAGAGACCTTTTTTTTTTTTTTTTTTTTTTTTTTTGGTACCGGGGATCGAACTTGGGTCTTTGCGCCTGCAAGGCAGGCGGTGGAACCACTGAGCTAGATCCTCAGCCCTGATTTTTTTTATAACCTTTTGTGTTTATTTTGGCAATTCAAATCATA